TTTTCTAATTGAATCGAATGGCCAGAGAATCCAAGATTTCAATCCTTTTGAATTTGAGACTTGTTTTATGGTATCGTTTAAAGTTTCTGAAGATAAATGTCCATGTTTTCTAGTCGTTCAGGGAAAGAGAAGGGTTTGTCTGCTTGTGCCTTAATCCATCATACTTGAAGTGAAAGCTCATGTTACTGTTTTGAATTAATTCTTTTAAAAAAGTAGTTATGCTCTTGCTACTCTACTCATGATCTATTAATAAGAATTGTAGTTAACATGTGATATTTAAACTTGTATATATAACACAAGGAGGAAGACTAAGTTTCCAAATATTTTAATGACTTATCAAACAGAGGCAGATACTGAGCTAAGTTGTGAAAGTATAAAAATGACTGAGATGAGTTCCCTAATATCAAGGTACTGGAGATCTGGTAGAATCATAAAGGGAAGAATGGTGGGGATCCATTTTAGTAACTAACAAATGCCAAGCTAGATCTCTCTGAATTTATTTAGTGTCATTGTTAGAGGTATACTTGGCTTGCAAAATTAAACAACAGAAAAAATGTCAAGTTTTGGCATCGCTGATTTGGGGTTATTAGTTCCTACAGGATTTTTTGGGCATTTAACAGGTAGGTCTTCCATACCAACTCAGTGAAGATGAGTTTTTCGGAGTAGGGGCCATGTTCAGTTTGCTGCTGTTCCAGGAAGGGCTCCGGGTGATCTCACTCAGTAATATTGACTAATTCAGTGAGCAGTTTAGTTTTGTAAATCCTTTGATTACTTTGCTGTCTTCATTATTGTTAGGAGGTGTTGTCAAGTCAGTTCTGACACATGTGACCTTATGTGTAATGGAACGCGGTCCAGGCCTGTGCCATCCTCACAAGCCTGCCTACGTTTAAGCTCATTTTTGCAGCCACTATGTCAATTTAACTCTTTGAGGGTCTTCTATTGATTCAGTTCTGACTCGTAGTGTCCCTATAGGATAGGGTCGAACTGCCCCTGGGAGTTTCTAAGACTCTTTACAGGAATAGAAAGTCTTGTCTTGCTCCCTCAGCGCTGGCTGGTGGTTTTCGAACTGCTGACCTTGTGGTTAGCAGACTAACTTGTAACCGTTACGCCACCAGGACTGTTAGGAACAGGGACTGCATGAATGTCACAAAACATTTCTGTCATTGTTTAGGCCCGAGGGTTTTTATTGCTGTCTGTTATGCCTTTCCTGTCTGAATGGAGTTGGAGATAAACTGACTTGAAGCTCAGGTAGTAAAGAAACACCTTTTTTAGTTATTCTCAGTGTTCTAGGAACTAAAAATGGAGTTTTACCATGGTGTGCTCAGAAGCATCATGAATAATAATTGTGATAGAGTTCATTGTAAACATGTTCAGAGTTCAGTATTTTGAGGCCCTCAGAGGTCTCTAATGAGAGATGTTTAATAACATGTCTGAAACAGAGGTCAAGAAGACGTAAGCTAAGAATTTAAGTACAGAGTTATCTACTCAAAGGTGATAGTTAAATCTGAGACGGGAAGAAGGAAGAGAGGGCATAAAAGGATGCCCAGAAGACTGAAGTCGTTGTTTAATAAATTGTTGCATCTCATATCTTTATCTAAAACAGAACTTTTTAGAAAAATCAACAGAAAGAGAAACACGCCAAGAATATGCTCTGGCGATGATTCAGTGCAAAGTACTGAAACAGCTAGAGAACTTGGAACAGCAGAAGTACGATGATGAAGATATCAGTGAAGATATCAAATTTCTTTTGGAAAAACTTGGTGAGAGTGTCCAGGATCTTAGGTCTGTTATTCTCTTTATTTTTCACAAGTTGGATCCACTAGACCTTGATTGATTTACATAGGATTTTAAGAAAGCCTCTTAGAAATCAAGACCCTTAACCAAAATATTATTGCTTTTGTTAAAATTGGAAATTTATAAAAACTGCTAATCTCTATTTAAATGGCTATATCTTTTTTTTTTTTCAATTTTAACTGAAACTAAGTCTAAGCATGTCTTTTCACCTAGATCTGTCTACTGGGTTACTAACCACAAAATTGACAGTTTAAACCCACCAATTACTTTGTGGGGGAAGGACGAGGTTTTTGCTCCATCAAACTTAGAGCCTAGGAAACCCTATGGAGCAGTACTGCTCTGATCGATAGGCCACTGTGAGTTACAATTGACTTGAGCCAGTGGTTATCCCAATTTAAAATTTTTATATTTTGGAGTTTTAAATAATGAATTGTTACTCTAAACCCAGTAAATGGTTTTTTAATTAAAGTATATTACAGTTTGATAAATGAACAGAGGGGTTTTAATTAACATACAACATATAGATTAACTCAGGTAATAAATTATCTACATTTTTAGTAACTACATAAAAAATATTGATACTTGAGGGTTTACTCTTTTTGTGATATAATGTAATTCTTATATTGATAAGTTAATAGCATTATATCATTTTGTTAAAGTACTATGCTTTTACATAAACTTATATTAAGATACCTAGTGATCTGACAAACAGAGTGATTTAAGATACCTGTAGAAACTGCTAGATTATGAGATATTTATATAGAATAACACTGATGTATAAAAGATTATGAAAGCAGATACCCATTTTTATCTCACATCAAGTATTTATATTTCACAGTATTTTAAAATCATATTTTACATGATTTATTAAAATTATTTGAAGTAAACTTTTTAATATGGTAATTTGCTGAGTTACAGTAATATCAGGATAATTCTAACTAAAGCATTAGTCAGGATGTTATATTTTATTTGGCCTTGGAGTAACTGTCAGTTTCTTTAATAAACTTTGAACTCTTCCAACATTTTGTAGTTCCTTTGATGAGTACAGCTCCGAACTTAAGTCTGGACGGTTGGAATGGAGCCCTGTGCACAAATCTGAGAAGTTTTGGAGAGAGAATGCTGTGAGGTTAAATGAGAAGAATTATGAGCTCTTGAAGTAGGTTTTTTATTTTTTTTATACCCTTTCTTCCTACAACTTTTGTTCCATATCATTTGCTTCTATCATTTAAAAAAATCTTAGGTTTTTTGTGGTTTTAATTCATATTTTGTTTTGGCTAGTTAGGTTAAGTACCTTTCCATACATTTATTGACCATTTGATATCTTCTTTACAGGAGAAGTATCTCTTCAAGTCTTTTTTCCTTTTGCACTTTTCTATCTTATAGAAATTTTATATGGATTTGGGATATGAGTTCTTTTTCAAATACAAGAATAAGTAAAAAACTATTACTATCAGGGATCCAGTCCACGCAAGCATGGGTTTAAACATCTCTGCAACCAATGGATGGCTGCAGACACTTTGTCGTAGTCTCCTTAAGATGCTTCAAAAGAAAGGAATGCAAAAAAAAAAAAAAAGAATATAAAACATTTTAAATGAGGTTTAGGCAGCTCAAAGAGCTAAACTTTCTATCAGTCTTTTAAGTAAGATTGAAATTTATGAAGAAGATTTCATGGGACAAAAAGTAGTTGGGGATGAGTTTTGGATTTAACAGTATAATCCAGAGAGCAGGGTCCAATCCAAACAGTGGCTTACAAGGGAATCTACTCTTTTGATTAGACCTGGCTCTCCAAATCACACCGGTCAATTAAATTCAAGGCAGCGGGGTTAGCTCAAACAGTGTTGGAGTCTTTCTTGGGATCCCCAAGGAAGAATCTTTATAGATTTTCTTGAAGGGGCTGGATGATTATAGAAGCTTATTAAGAAATTTTAAGAAAATTGAAAGCTTCACATCAGTTGCGAAAAAGACTTAAAAAGTTGTGCCAACGAAGTTCTTGAATTTCTGTTTTCAATTGTGATTGGTTGAATTTATAGAGCAGATCATCAATTTTAAATTCAACATTCTCATACACATTTTGCTTCAGCTCATTCATTGTAACATCACTTACTCCACTGCCTCCTTTTCTAACCCTTCTGAACTTTGTCTTGGGTTAATGCTGCCCCTTTGACCTCACCTGGTTTAATATTCTAAGGCAGCAGTTCTTAACCTGTGGGTTGCGGCCCCTTTGGGGGGGTTGAACGACCCTTTCACAGGGGTCACCCGAATCATAACAGTAGCAAAATTACAGTTAAGATGAAGTAACAACGAAAATAATTTCATGGTTGGGGGGTCGCCACAACATGAGGAACTGTATGAAAGGGTTGTGGCATTAGGAAGGTTGAGAACCATTGTTCTAAGGTGTCCCACACTAGTGTTACTGTTCCCTATACAGACCTGCTTATAGTTGGTTGAAAATTGAGCCACGGAGATGAGATCAAGTCTAGACCTAAAGGGTGACTGAGGACCATAATTTTGGGGGTTCCTATAGTATCTGAGCAGCAAACCTAATGTTTTCTGGGAGTTTGAGTTTTATGCCACATGTCTCCCCCTCTATCCATGACCTACAGCGATCCATTTTGTAGTCAGAGTGGCAGCCTCATGAGCACCATTCCATCGTTCTAGTTTCAGGGTAAAAACTGATGTTCCTGCGATTCACTAGTTTTGTAGACTCATTGTTTCCCACTCTATTTCATCATTTTTATTTCGTCCAAAGTGAGAACAATAATTGTACTTTAAATGACTCTTCATGAATTTTTTTTAATGTTTGTTTAATGAAAATGTTAATGATTTTGTAGCAGTACTTTTTTACTTACTCTTGTATAATACCTTGCCCTGATTTTTAAAATGTAATTTTATTGGGGGTTATTACAAATATTATAACAACCTATAAATCAATTATATAAAACAAACTTGTACATATGTTGCCATCGTTATTTTCAAAACATATCTTTCTACTTGAGCCCTTATTATCAGCTCCTCTTTTTTCCCTCCCTGCCCACCTTCCCACCCTTGTGAACCCTTGATAAATTATATATTATTATTTTTTATATCTTACACTGTCCACTGTATTCCTTCACCCACATTTTTGTTGGTTGTCCCTCTCAGGGGTGGGTTATTTTATACATCCATCATTGCTATCGGATCCCTCTTTCTCCCCCTTCATGACCCACCCTCGCCCTACCCTCATGGTGTCCCTATTCCCATTACTGTTTAGGCCCCAGTCACTACTCACCAAAGCACGATGTAAACTTCACCATTGTATTTGAAGAGCATTTTGTTGGTTATATAATTGTTGGCCTGTAATTTTTTTCTTTCAGAGTTTTATATATCTCATTCCATTGCCCTCTTGTCAGCATGGTTTTGTGAGAAATTAGTTTTATTAATTCTCCTTTGTAGATAACTTTTCATTTATCCCAGGCTGCTTTCAGGATTCATTCCTTGTCTTTGGTTTTGGAATGTGTGATTAAGATATATTGTGGTGGTTTTCTTTTAATCTATTTATGGACACTTGGGATGTTTCTATCTTTTGACTTTTGTGATTAATACTGCTGCAAGTACAAGTGTATGTATATTTTCATTCCTTTGGAGTGCATCCGTAGGTGTGGAATTTCTGAGAAATGTGGTAACCATGTGTTTAGCCATTTGAGGAGTTCTTAGACCGTTTTCCAAAGTGGCTGTACCATTTTACATGTGGATATCAGTGTTAGAGGCTTCTGATTTCTCCGTGTCCGGGTCAGCACTTGTTATTTCCTGACTCTTTAGTCATAGCCATCCTTGTGGGTGTGAAGTGGTATCTCATTGCGATTTTGATTTGCATTTCCCCAATTACTAATGATGTCAAACACCTTTTCATGAGTTTGTTGGCCATTTGTATATCTTCTTTGGAGAATAGGCTATTCAGACCTTTTGCTTAATTTTTAATTGAGCTGTCATTTCATTTTGATTTTAAGAGTTCTTTGGTCATTTGTGGGAGCCCTGGTGGCGTAGTGGTTATGAGCTGGGCTGCTAACCACAGGGTCAGCAGTGTAACCCCACTAGCCACTCCGAGGGAACAAGACAAGGCTTTCTACCTTCCCCTCTCTTCCTCAAGGGTCACAGTCTTAGAAACTCACAAGGGCAGTTCTGCATTGTTCTGTAGGGTTGCTATGAGTTGGAATTGACATGTTGACAGTGAGTTTGGTTTTTTTGCTTTTTCAGTAGTTGCAGATTCATGAATTTGTATTTCTTACTTCATTTCTCCTGTTCACTTTTTGGGGGTACATTACATGCTTTTAAAAGGAAAATCTCCCTTTTACTGCCATTTCAAATGCGGTAAGGAGCAAAGGGGTTCAGTGAATGAATGTGTTTGGTGGACCATGTTTAAGTAGATCTATATTGCTTAAACTTGATTTTCTTTGTATTATTGAAAATGTCACACTATTCTTTTTTAAAGAAAGTGTGGTAAACCAAAGTTAATGGTTAGCAGATGTTGGAAAGACTGATGGAGAACAGGTAAATGAGTAAAAATCATCTCCATAAGTGAGGGCTGGGTGATTATGACAGAAGTCCCCTTTTTTTCTAGCACATGTGAGTACAATAATATTCAGAAGCAACAAAGCCCACATGGAAGAAGCACACCAGCCTATACAATCATGAAGTGTCGAAGGGATCAAGTATAAGGCATCATCAGAACAAAAAATCATACCATAGTGAATGATGAGGGGAGTGCGGAGTGGAGACTCAAAGCCCATTAGTAGGCCACTGGAGATCCCCTTGCAGAGGGGTCTCGGGGAGGAGATGAGCCAGTCAGGGTGC